CAGCCTGAACATGAGTCTGTTGTGAGCAGATGTGTATGAATATTGTAGCTTCATGGGTAAGAAATCAGCAGCATGGATAAAGTGTCAAATCTCCAGTTAAAGTGACATTACATAGATTTTTTTTTTCACAGTGATCATCCTGGTTAGATATCTGAGTCTAACAACTTCAGGGTAGAAGCTGTTCCTGAGTCTAGTGGTTCTACACTTAATGCTCTTCAACTTTCTGCCTGAGGGGAGCGGGGCAAAAAGTGTGTGTGCTGGGTGAGTGGTATCCTTCATGATGCAGGTGGCCCTCTTCCTTCATCTAGAGGTGTAGATGTCTGTGATGGTGGGGAGACTGACTCCAACAGTCTTCTGTGCAGCCTTCATGCCACACGTTGATGCTGGAGCACAGGATGCTCTCCACTGCACACCTGGAGAAGGAGGTGAGGACTGAGCTTACTCTGTTCTCCAAACGCCACATGGATGTTCATTAAAGGTGCTGTGACAGAAATAATCAAGTAAAAGTAGCCAATAAATAAATAAATCAATAAAGCTGATGAAAGCAAGCAAAAAAAAAAAACTAGTAAAACAAGAAAAGACTGAACATTTTGCATATATTTTGATATTTGGAAGCAAAGGAAAAAAGGTTTGTGTATTTTTATGGCCTGGCTCAAAGACCATGACACCCCCCCCCCCCCCCCCCCCCCCCCCCCCAAAAAAAGAGAGAAAAAAAAAGTTTTATTTCCAACTAAACCAAAACTATCCTAAGAAAGGAAAAATGGGGGAGCTCCTCTCTCTGAAAGTGGTACGTTTTAAATCAACTCCACTGGAAACTCTGGCCGGCTGTCTGCAGCTCCCAATTAGCTCCACATCATTTGTGGAACCTGAAACATGCCCCCCTCCCCCCCCCCCCACCCCTACACACACATACACACACACACAAAACAAGCAGGGACCCTGGGGTCATAACAGCACTAATAGGTAGATAGGTGGACAGAAAAAAAACAACAACTTTCAATAAAAATAAAAAAACACAACTTCTAAGCCATAAATTTGCTTTAATGCAACTAGAGCTTGTAGTAAAAAAAATAAAATAAAATAAAATAATGTAAAATGATCGTGGTTAATTTTGTCATAACTAAACATCCTGAGGCTTTAGAGTATTTTATGTATAGATGTTAATTTTTACCACAACTCCACCCTGTCAGGCATCTAGCTAACATTAGTTCTGTGGTCCTCCTCCTCCTGTACGCAGCATTTACAAATGCGTTCACACAAAACAACACATTTTAGTAAACGTGACAAAACTGAAGCCACAATTTATTTATTTATTTATTTTTTTACTTATGAACTTACTACAAGCATAAAGACAAAACTATTGTGGATTTCTTTAATTTAAAAAAATAATTGTGTTGCAGCCCATAAAATAAACATTTTCCTAAAGATTTAGAGTAAAAATAGCAAAGAGTGGAAATCATCTTAATGCCGTTGTCAACATGGCTCCGTCATCTGCCTACACTGTGCAGCTTATATAATTGGTTGCATGCTCAGCCAGCCCACTTGGTGTTTCAGAGGGCAGCTCACAAGTGAAAGAAATAGAAACGCATGCATTCTTTAAATGACCTCTGCCTCGCACATTCAGAAAGAAATGTTAATATCTCTTTAAGTTGCCTTCAGGAAAATCTCTTAGTTTGGATCAGTTGTTTGAGTTGCTGCAGAAAAAAAAAAAAGACATGAGATATCAAGACACATCAGGGGAGCCGTTTCCTGTTTCACATCAGTTCAGTCAAATTTTATTATCCATATGTTGATGATTTTATTTGTCCGAGTTTATCGTTCATCTTTTAAACTCTTTGTCAATACAGAGAGTAAGTACGCTCAATCATCAAAGTAAATGACACAAAAGTTAAATTGTGTCATCTGGACAGGCTGTTTTTGGAAGAAACGTTTCGTTATTCATCTGAAAGACTTCATCTGTCTGAGACCTGCCAACAGGATCTGTCGTATAAAATATGATCAAATTAAACATTTGATTGTTATGCAATGCATTAATGATAGATTGTTATAGACTGATGGTCCTCCATTTTGCATGTGTAAAGCCACTTTCTGGGTATTCCACAGCAGACTGGTTTGAAATATGTCAAAAAGTTGCTATATACGACATATCCTGTTGGCAGGCTGCAGACTGATGAAGTCTTTTGGATGAAAGACGTAACATTTCTTCCAACGAGAAACTGTCCAGATGACATGATTTAACTTTTTTTGTGATATTTGCATTTAATAGAAGTTCTGTGACAAAAACAGAAACAAACAACAAAGAAAAAAAACATTTTATCTTAGTCAAAAACATAATTTTGTGAAAAAGTTGTTTCTGACTAGATCTGAAGTTATTCACGTATTATTGTAAAATTGATTTATTTCAGTGAACTGTAATTTATTTCATCACATCAAATTATTCATATTGATATGGATCAAAACCTTCTAACCTACAAAGCTCTCAACAACCTAGCTCAGGCATGGGCAAACCCCGGCCTGCGGGCCATATACGGCCCATTGGGTTTTTTAATTGGCCTGCCGAAATTGTCCAAAATTTGGACAATTAAAAAAATATATATTTTTTTAATTATTTTTCAGGGGTGCTGAAGTAAGATTTAGGGGGTGCTTAAGCACCCCTCACAAAGGGGTTAAAATCGCCACTGGTTCAAATTATATTAAAAAAACTGAAATTAATAGGAAAAAAACCTGGTGTTGTTTTACCTGTAGTTCCAACATTTCCCCAGTAGAGGCGCACTACAGACACTGGCGTGTTTCAGAAGCAAACTGACGGTGGCGAAGAAGTAATTTCTTCTTCTACACTTTTATTTGTACTTTGCCTTATGAATTATCTTGTAAAAATGAGTTTATCAAAGAAAAGAAAAGTGTACAGTGAATGCAGAGTGTTTAAAATGGAGTGGAAAACAACATATTGTTTCACTGAGGTCCAGTCAAATACAGTTTTCATGCCAAGAAACTGTCGTGGTTTTCAAAGAGTTACTGCTAACTATTCTAGCAAGCAACAAAGTCCATGCCTTCGATCTGGAAGGCTTCATCAGTCAAGGAAACACAACAAAACTGATTCTTCCCCCAACAGCTTACTCCACAAAGTGGAACAAACCAGTTTTGCTTGTGATAAGATGGTCGCTTTGGTACGCCCCCTCCTCCATTGCCGGCCCTCTTCCTTGTTGACAGTCATGTCAAACTGGTTGAAAACAACAAAGTCCATGCTCAATAATCCAGGTATATATGCTAGCAAGCCTTTCTCCGATGGCAATTTTTTTTAAAGAAAGCATGGTAAAAACAGAGCTATTGTGTCTGGAGGGTCAAGCCAAGTTAGAAAATAATCAGTTTATCACGCAGGACTGTGACTCGCATTGTGGAACTGATTGATGAAGATATAGCCAACAAAAGCTAAAAAACAGAGAGAGTCCTTTAAGTTACAGTTTAGCACTGGATGAAAGTAATGATGTAAAGGACACTACTCAGCTCCTAATTTTTATCTGCGGGATTAACAACAGTTTTGAGATAATGGGGGCGTTTTTGACCCTGGACTCTCTGAAAGGAAAAACACAGGGAGACGATTTTTATAACCGTCTGATGTCATGACAGAATGAAGCTACTGTGGAGTAAACTTCAATGTCACAACGGACAGATCACCAAATTTAAGTCGAAAACATGTTGGGCTGCTGACAAGTATCCAGGATAAAGTGAAAGAGGAAACTCTGACCAGGATGTTGTTTTTCTTCACTGCGCCATCCATCAGGGATCACTGTAAGTCATGCGTTGTGTGTGAAACTGTTATTTATGTGTGAATTATCAAAAAAACAACAACAAAAAAAGTGAAAGACAAAAACGTGTGGATTATTGTCCAGGTACTCTGTTGTGACGCTGCATAGAGGAGCTGCAGGAGGATGATGTCTGCTTCCATTCCCAACCTGCTGTCATCAACTTTAGATCCTATAGTTGTAAAAAGTTTTGTGAGGAGTTTGTAGAGGTGAGCTGCCACTTTATTTTGACTTTTCTCCTGTATTCCATTAGCGTAGTGAGGTAAGAGACTTGTGGTTTGGTTCATTTTATTTTTCTTCAGGTAAGAGAAAATACAGTGGGTTTTTTTTTGTTGTTGTTTTGGCCTGAAATTGGGAAGACCCCACAAAGTCAATAATTTCACTATTGTAAATAAAATCACTGTTCTATCATATAATCCTGACTTAGTGGCTGCTTGAGTGGTGCAGAAGGTGGAATCGCCCATAATTAATTGCGTCCCTGTGGCTGTTATTGCGCTGGGGTGTATCATCACACAAACACTCCATCCATCTGCTCCTGGCCCGGCCCTTTGCTCCAATTTTAGAATTCATTGTGGCCCGCGAGTGTAAAAGTTTGCCCACCCCCGGATTAAACAACAAGGAAGTTTAGCATCTTGATTTTAAAAGATTGCGTTGGGACCTTTCTGCAGGGAGTTTACATGTTCTTCCTTTGTCTGCGTTGGTTTTTCCAGAGTGTTCCGGTTTTCTCCCACAGTTCAAAACATACGTTGTCTGCTAAACTGTCATAAGGTGTGTGTGTGTGTGTGTGTGTCTGTGTGTGCGTGCGTGTGAATTATTGTCTTGTTTGTCTATGGCCCTGTGACAAAACTGTGACCTGATCAGGGGTGTTCCCTGCCACCAGCTTCCCGTGACCCGGAACAGGAACAAGAGACTAAAGAGAATAAAAAACAACTAAGTCATGCTCTAAGAAGTATTACTAATGTATCATTACTATCAAAAAACACTGTCAAGTTTTTAAAACTTTGTACTTAAAAGTTTTGCACTCATCAGTCTTTTTTTCTGAGCTTCATCAAGGACTCGGTGTTTATAAACAATCTCAATTAAAAAAATCTGTCTCATAAAGTCTTATAGTTTTTGCTTATTGTCTGATTCCACACATTTTACGTATTTACTGAAAGGAATTACGACAAGACAAAAACAATAGAGAGACATGCCCAATACCTTTATTTTCAAGTGTACAAAGAAAACATTTCCTCCATCTTAAACATTAGACAATCAAAGTTAATGCAACACACAAATAGGAAAGACCACCATGCAGAGTCGACAGTTACTTTTTCTGCTTCTTTTCAAGTTTGATCTTCTTTTCTTCCACCCACTCCACTTCTTCTCCGTCTTCTGACCTTCTCTTCTGTTTTCTTTTCACTTAATAAGGAAGCTGCAAGAAGAAGAAGAGATGAGTGACACAGAGGAAAGAGAAAACCAAGGGAGGGAAACAAAAATGGAGGAACTGAAACACCTGTTTGGTTGTGAATTGTGTTGCGAAACATATTCTTGTTCATTTGAGGCGAGATGAACTAAAGCTTGTTGAACATTTATGTATACATATTAAATGCATATATATTTTAAAAACAGTTTGTGAAAGCCAGTCAGGCAAAAATGCTGCAATATTTAAAAACACATTCATGATTCGTGATGGAAGAGGGAAGCAGCAAACCTGCCTCTGAATATTTCAAGCCTATACACTATTCAGAATTCAAAACATGGTCCTAATTATATATAGGAAGTCGCAATCAAACATGAACGACATCAATTCAAATTGAGACATCTTGGAGCTCAACCGGAGCAGCCGTGAAGTGTACAGTGTAATCTCAAAAGTGAAAACAGATTAAAAAAGACACTTTAAATTATTCTTATTCCCATCAAACCAGGCTGATAAATGCAGATATTAGTCAGTATGTTTGTGGCGATCTAAGAAAGTAAAGGACGGAGTCTGAAGTTGCTCATAGTTTGGACTAATGCGTCTTGTTGTAAAGCTAGTAAAACCTTAAAATGATATTCACTGTAAAACAGATATCACAACTCTTCATTCATTATTTTCACAAACAAAACTAAACACAACAGTAATATCAGCTACTTTGCTCACTGTGTGAATGTTTATGAAGCACTCTCTATTGTGATCCATTTTTCTTTTGTACGTTTTTCTGTGCAATTCTCATCCCCAAGTTTTCAAGCTATTTCAAGAAATCATACATCACAACGTTCAGCAATTTCAGGACAATCCTGCTATGACTTTTGGTATTGGTGCAACTTTAGCTTTTTGAAATATTTTGCCTTTTCTGACCGTTTTATCCCATAGAAAATGAATTGAGCTCATTTTACATCCTTCAAATCTTTAGATCTGTTTACAACCTTTTACTGCTCCTTCACATTTTGTTCTGGCTCAACTTCCTTGTGCAAATTTAAAGATTTTTTCAGCTATTTTCAGATGTTTTTCAGCTGTTTTATGCTCCTTTCAGCTTTATTTTGAAAACTACAACATTTTTGTGTTTCTTCTAACTTATTTCAGCTTGTTATGCTCCTTTCAGCTCCTTTCTGCAAGTTTCAGCTTTTTATGCTATTTCAGCTACGGTAATATTTAGCTGTTTATGCTAATTTAAGCTTTTTCAGCTAATTCCACATTTTTTGCACTCATTTCAACTTTTTTCAGCCTAATTCAGCAAAAATGTGCTCTTTCCACTTCCATCTTATAATTTCAGCTTCTTTTTGCTTTTTTAGTTACTTTTCAGGTTTTTTTTGGCTAAATTCAGCTTTTTTCAGATAATTTCCACTTTTTGTGCAACTGCTCTAGTTATAGTCTCATTTCTGCTTCTTTCAGCAAACATGTTTGTTCCGCTTTCTGCTTTTTTTTCTTCAGCTTTCAAATTTTAGCTTGTTCTACATTTTCAGCTACCTTTTTAGATTTGTCTAGCTAATTTCAGCTATTGTCAGATTATTTCCACTTTTTCTAGGTAATTTCAGCTACTTTCAGCGTGATTAATTTCTTTCTGCTAATTTCAGCTTGTTGTCCTTTTGACTTTTTTCTGCTAGTTTCAGCTTTAGCTGCTATTTCAGCTACTTTTTGGCTGTTTTTATGCAATTTTAGCTTTTTCAGCTAAGTCCACATTTTTAGCTCATTTCAGCTCTTTATGCTCTCTTCTGGAAAGTTAAGCTTCGTTCTGCCTTTTCAGCTACTTTCATTTGCTAATTTCAGCTTTGTCTTAACCGATTTCCTAATTTTTGCACTAATTTCTGCTTATTTAAACCAAATTCAGCAAATATGTGGTTTTTTTCTGCTTTCTTCTGGTAATTTAGGCCTTTTCTTTCATTTAAGCTACATTACAGCGTGTTTTTTTCTCAGCTGTTTTTCAGCAAGTGTTTCTGCATTAAGCATTCACATTGCATTTTCACAGGAAATGCAATTTCTCTATAGTTGCTATCATATCACTTTTGTAACATTTACTGGATTTGACAGCCATTAATATACCTCAGCCAAAGGTTTGAACCTGAAATACTGTATCCTTTCTTTAAAAGTCTCTTATATTTTTCTTTTTCTTATATCTGTTATAGAAGGCATATAAAAAAATGAAAGTTTACTTGATCTCTTAGTGAGTGTACAATAAACTGGTCTACAAACAGTGGTGGATAGATGGATAAAATTAACTTTGACGGATTCTTTTAGGAGATTGCTAGTATTTATTCAACCTTTAGGAAAGTACAATAAAACAACTTTAGGGTAAATAATTCCCCACACAAATGATGATACTTTAATTGGAAAAAACTTAAAATTCAAACATTTCTAATGACTAAAATGGTTCATTTCATCCTTTTTGAAAGCATGACTCAAACAAGTGTTAAAACATCAACTCTGATGTGCAGCCCACACTAAGACCACTCACATATAGAGGTGTGTTTCAGCTGCTGGGAGTTTAAAAGGTTGTTCTGTAATATCCTACAGCTGCTCAGCTGGAGATGAACTGGACCCCAACTCAGCAAATATGAAATCTTTTCTGTCACACATTAAATCATTTCTATGTACTGCTGACCTTTAGTTAAAAGTGATTCTGCTCTGGCTCACTAAGCCACAAAGAATTAATGACCACATTCCCAACATGGGAAACATCCACGGATCCATGACTTTTAATGATCCAGTCGGATAAGATGGGTGAACACATTTAGAATTTATTTCAGGGCACAAGTGAACACAGACTTCAAATTTGTGGGGAATTAGTTGCTGTAAACTTGTCTCAGCAATTTTTAACATTTTGTATATTGTCCAGTCATGAAGCTAACGGATTCATTTCATTTGAGCTTGTATTAAAAATAGTGATGCTATTTCAGTCTCAATGATTTCACACATTTTCACGCAGAGAGTTAGATTTGGTACGTACCTGTAGGGGTACCCGTGGTATTTGGACCTGAAGATGGAGAGCAGGAAACTAAAGAAGAACACCACCAGCCCAAGTCCAACCAGACAGATGACTGCAAACAGGAAAAGACAGTAGTGATTAAACAATACATCAAAATGTTTTACATTATCTAAAGCAGCAGCTGTAATAACTACTAGTAGATGAAATAATACAGTACACGGAAATACTTCAAAATATTGGTAAGTAATGCTCAGAATAAAATGAACATTTTATTGTTGTTTTGTGTCTAAAATGTAAAGTTACGATGATAAAAGCTTAAGCCACAACATTTGAGTAGTGCCCAAAATTCAGCTACAAAACAGAGGAAAGTTTAGTCAAGTTAACTTGTAAATGTAGAGTCCCAATGTGAATTACATGTTTACCTCATTACCATGTGACAACATACAGAGAACATTAGTAAACATGTTTTGAACCAGAGCCAAGACGTGGAACGGACAATATTCAGAGTTTTTAGCTGCAGTTTCGATGATTATAGAAACCTTTTGAACATAAAGCAAACATTTAAAATATTTTTTATTAATCTATAATAACCTTTTTTTTAATTAATTAAAAATAAACATTTTACACCAATTTTATTTTGTTTCAAAAAATGTGGAAAAACACAAAGTCCAAAACTGATGCGCATTACAAACCATGATTTTTGTTATTTTCCTTTCTAATGACTGGATTTACTGTTTGTGAATTTACATGTTTACAACATATTGCACGACCTACAGACATTCTAATTCATGCATTGCAGTTATTAGACAAAAGGCCGTGAGGGTATTTGACTTCAACCTAAAGGCAGCCATTTCAATCATCTCGCACACATCTGTGGTTCAGCTGCTGATGCAATGCTCTTTGATCCATTTTCAAATAGACCACGCTTACAGGGTTTAGACAGGTTACACACTGAAGGCATCCTCTTCTCACATCTTGAGTACACATACACAAACATCCATATTTACGCAACAACTCAGCCCAGCAGACACACACTCGAATGATGACACATCCCGACAGACGAACTGAGTTATGCTCTCATTACAGTGAAAGGATTATTTGGGAAACTGTGGGTGTTGCCTTCTGTTGGAATGCCACTTGTACCTAAAAGTTACTGCAGAAAAACAACAACAAAAATAACACACTTTCCAAACTCAGGACATTTACCTCTGAAGCCTCCAGATCCTTAAACAGCTAACCAAAAACTCGATTTGTTCTAACAATATATTTTCATTCAACCTTTATTTATACAAGTTAATCCAATTGAACCTCTGGGACTCATTTACAAGAGAGACCTGATATAAATGCATGTAGGTCATGCCCTGCAAGCCACATAAACCAAACCATCAGCAACTTAAGTCCTAGTACCATCCATCCATCCATCCATCCATCCATCCATCCATCCATCCATCCATTTTCTGCTTATTCCAAAGTTGGGTCACGGGGGCAGCAGCTTGAGGAGAGGTCCAGTCATCTCTTTCCACAGCCACATCTTCCAGTTCTTCTGGGAGTATCCCAAGACATTCTTAGTCCATCTGAGAGAAGTAGTCTCTCCAGAGTGTCCTGTGTCTTCCCCGAGGTACCCAGGAAGCATCCTTACCAGATGCCTGTACCACCTCAACTGGCTCCTCTCGATGTAGAGGAGCAACGGTTCTACTCCCAGTCTCTCCCAAATAACTGAATTTCTCACCCTATCTCTAAGAGAGAGTCCAGCTACCCTGTGGAGGAAACTCATTTCAACTGCTTGTATCCGCGATCTTGTTCTTTCAGTCACTACCCAAAGTTCGTGACCATAGGTGAGGGTAGGAACGAAGACTGACTGGTAAACAGCGAGCTTTGCATTACAGCTCAGCTCTCTCTTCACTACAATGGACTGGCAGAGTCCACTATACTGCAGACGCTGCACCAGTCTGTCTGTCAATATCACACTCTTTCTTACCGCACTTGTGAACAAAACCCCAAGATACTTGAACTCCTCCACTTGAGGCAGAACCTCACCCTCGACCCGAAGATGGCAAAACACCCTTTTCCAACTGAGGACCAGGGCCTCAGAGTCGGAGGTGCTGATTCTCATCCCAGCCGCTTCACACTCAGCTGTGAACCGCTCCAGTGAGAGCTGAAGATCACGATACAATGACACCAACAGGACCACATCATCCGTAAATAGCAGAAACAGCAATGCATATTCAATAAAGTTCTGAGTTCATGTTTTGATGGCAGAGAAGGTGATGTGTGTGGTGCCTGTCATGCGGCATCCATCACCAAATATGGCAAAAAAATTTGTCAATATTTGTCAATCAGTCAAATGTATGCTATTGGGATGCAGAAAACAACAGTTAAAGCTGTCATTGTATTCCTTAGTGGCTATCCAAAAGTTAAATATATAAATAAGTGTATGAGAGTGTGCACACATCTTCACACAGTTGCTAATCCTTAAGAGGCACTGTGTTAAATTAAACTGTCACCACCGACTGATATTGTTAATCAGGGATTAGGATGAGTACCTCTCCAGAAGACTACATAGTGAGATATCCACACTGTGTGTGTCCTCTGTGTGTATGTGTGGAAGACGGAGAGGGTGATGTCGTAACACAAGATTTGCCTGGGAAACTGTACAACGGATGCAAATCTCTGTATAAACGGGTTTCTGGTGGTTTGCATGTTCCGTTTGTCAATGATATTATGGTGTGAAAAATATTTGCGTATAAGAGTGCATCCACTGCCATCACTCAGTATCAGATACTTCTTTCACTCTTTACTAGCTCAGCATATGGAAACATTTACAATTCGTCGTAAGAACCTCGGTTTGTGCCGTGACAGCGCTGTGCACATACTAAGACGGCAGCTGAGATGACATTTAAATCCAAACTAAACACCAAACCACTCTTACAAGCTCACACACATTCAATGCATGTTAGTTCAATGCACAGATCCCACAGACCCTGGTGCAGAAGCTCTTCTTTCTTGGACTGAGTCCCACACTAGGGAACTGGATTCTGCACTTCTTGACCAACAGACATCAGACTCTCAGGATCCACAACATTGTCTCCTCCTCAATCACCCTCAGCACTGGCTCACCCCAGGGCTGCGTGCTGAGCCCCCTCCTGTTCACTATGCTGACATATGACTGCTCGGCTAGACACCCCAGCTACCATATACTGAAGTGTGCGGACATTACAGTAGTAGTGGGACACATCACGAACAATGATGAGTCCAAATACAGAGAGGAGGTGGAACACCTGGTGCAGTGGTGCAGAGACAGTAATCTCTGCTTCAGTGTGAAGAAGACCAAAGAGATTGTGGTGGATTTCAGAAGGGACAAGGATCCTTTTCATCGCCTACACATTGGAGGAACAGCTGTGGAGGTGGTCTACTGTTACAGGTACCTGGGGGTGCATATATTCAGTGACCTTGTCTGTACAGCAAACACTTCCTGTCTGGTCAAGAAGGCCCACCAGCATCTCTACTTCCTCAGGAAGCTGCGGAGAGCTGGGCTTGGAAGCTCTGTCCTGAGGAGCATCTATCGATGTATGGAGGAGAGCGTTCACTGCACCTGTATCACCATGTGGCAAGGCCGTTGCACAGCTGCTGAGAGGATGGCTCTGCAGAGGCTGCACAGAAGATCGTGGAGAGCAGCCTTCCCACCACTTCAGACCTCTACACTTCACAATGCAGGGGAGGGCGCTCCGCATCATGAAGGACTCCACTCATCCTGCA